CAAACCATCTGTACCAGGGGCTTTACCAGCTTTCAATTGTTTAATTACATTTAAAATTTCATCTGCAGTAATCTCTTCATTCATAAGTTTCTGTTGTTCTGATGTAAGTTTATAAGTAGATGAAGATTGTAAATATTTATCAATGTCCTCAGTTTTTATGCCCCCTGAAGAGTATAAATGTGAGTAGAATTCTGTGAATACTTTTTTAATCAGTTCTTGTTGATATACCTCGCGACCCTTGACCAAAACTTTGGATATAACTCTAGCTTTTTGTTTCTTGCGTAATTGGTAGGCCAACCATCTCCCTGGTTTATTTGCATTAGCAAATGTGTTATGTTTAATGTATTTCAAGTTGGTGGCCACCTGATCAGCAATTAACATATTAAATTGATCCTTAAGCATTTTAATAGAAGCCTTCAAGTTAATATCTGTTGGTCGCTGAGATAATAATTTTTCTTTAATCCCAATTTCTTTTTCCAAGTTCAATCTACTCTGTATTTGCTTATACTTGTGTGCTTTATTCATGGAAATTAGTAGGCCCCTGAAATAAGCCTTACTAGCATCCCAAACAGTATGTATAGAAGTACCTTTGTTCAAATTAAGTTGAAAAAACTCTTTCATATTTTCCTTCAGAGTTTTGACCTTGTCCTCATAGTTAAACAAGTTTTCATTTATTCTCCAAGATTTCTTTTTTTTTGGTTGACCAATCTCTAACCATACCATGCTATGGTCAGTCAGAGTTCTAGGAAATATTTTGGTTTTATTACAAGCAGTAATTAAGTCAGTTGATGTTAAAACAAAATCAATCCTTGAAAAAGATTCATGTCTGTGGGAGAAAAAGGTAAAATCACGTTCATTCATATGTTGTAATCTCCAAACATCCACCATCTCCAAATCTTCCATCATTGCAAAAAAGGATTTAGGGAGTCTGGAAAGGGCCACGTCCCTAGAAGTTGTCTTTTTGTCTTTTGAAGTATCAAGTACCCCATTCCAGTCCCCCATAACAATCAAGGAGTTATAATCCATAGCCACTATTTTCTNTTTTTTTTAAGAGCAGGTGCAGCAAACAAATCTCCAAGCTTAGAGTTTAACAATAATTTTTGGTCTTTAGCCACAATATGAGTCTCTTGTAGACATGTAATATCATTATTAAAATGTCTTAAATAATGAAAAACCTTACGTCTTTTGTGGGGTATGTTAAGCCCCCCCACGTTCCAAGATGAAATTTTAAACATCAGCTAATTTCAATCCTATAGCAATACTTGAAGCGTAGGACTTAACAAAAACCTTAGGTCGAGCGCCACCTACTGGCTCAGAAGTAGCAGGTGGCACGCTCTCTGATGTTGACGGGCAGGCAATCAGCTGTTGTTCTTTTTCCTTACGTCTGTGAGCTGCACGAGTCATTCTTTGTTCTTTTGAACGCCCATTAGCATCCTTAACAGCGGAAGTAGAAGGGAGGTCTCCACTTGTAACACAGACGCCATAAAATCATTCGCTTTCTTGACCGTGTTAATTCTGTAGCGCTTTCCAGCCACAGTTACAATTATGCCCACCGGTATATCCCATCTGAAAATTATTTGCCTATTCTTAAGCTCCTGCACCAAAAAAGCATAATCTCGACGCGCTCTAAGTATTTTCGCTGGAATTTCTTTTAGAAGAATAATATCTTGGTTTAAAATCTTGAATCTTTGTTGATAAAAAAGCTGCATTATTTCATTACGTCTCATTTTTCTTGTAAAATACACCACCACATCTCTTGGCAAATTTTTTTGGCGAGCCACCCAGGAATTCACCCTGAAGACGCGTTCTATTTCATCATAAATTAATTCCTGCCCACGGGCTAAAACATCTGCCAGCGCTCCTGAAATTAATTCTCTTAAATTTTCCTTTGGGTCCTCAGCTAAGCCGCGAATTCGAATCGCATACTCCATGTCCCGGAATTGGGCGACCAGGACATCACCTTTAACATTTTCCAAGCCCTCCTCTACAAATTCCAATCTTTGCTCACTCATTTCAGTCTTCTGTTCATTTTCCTCCACCCTTTCTGCCACCCCATCCACATATTCAGCCAAGCCTTGAAAAGCAGTTGTCATATTCAAACGGAAGCCCTCATGTTTCTGTAATAATTCTTGTTGCTGCTGTATTACTTGATCAAACTTATTCTCCATTTTAATATCCATTTTTTGTAGCATCTCCGTCATTTGCTTAATACTTTCAGTCATTAAGTCCTGTAATTCTTTACCAGAGGGCGGTGGAGGTGAAGAAGATGGCGGTGGGGGTGGCGGGTGGGAAACCGGCTTAGGAATTTGTTGGAGCGACTGCGAAGTCGGAGATGTAGTTGGTTTTGAAATTGTGGGCACCACTCTTCTCGAAGCCATATTGACAATTTAAAGTTTCAGTCTTTGCAAAAGTCTTTTTATCAATTAATCCAGAGCAAGTAGTGAAAGTATTAAAAGTAGCAAAAAGTCCAGACCGGAAATCCGAATCACTTTCATTTGTTCTTGCTAGAAAGTTTCATTCCAACGCCATTTTGAGTTCACTTTCGCTCAATTCACCCCAAGTATAGGGAAGAAACGAATATTCCAAGTTAGAGTAGAATCCAAAATAGAAAACAAACTTCGAGGGTAGATTTGTCTGCATATAAAAACTCACAGTTCAATTTAAGTTGCAGCGGTGGTGGCGGCTTCTAGCTTCGCCGAAGCGAAGGCGTCCTGAATCGCGGAGAATCCTCGGGGCTCCGGAGGAGTTCTAACCTACATCGTCCACATCGGACGACTCGGGAACTCAACTCCTACCCCGGGCAGCTCACCGATCCCCCTATGCCCGGGGGAAGGGTATCATGCCGTTTGACGGCTGATACTCGCTGTCAAAACGGCTTTACGCTAAAACAGGCGGGAGGCAGCTGTCGGCTGCGTCCGACGAGGTCGCCTGCACACCGGAAGTCCTACTTTCTACCATTTCATATTAATTTGGCAGCCTGAAAATTAGAAGAGTCATTACAATGAACTAATTTGAGCTCTTGATGTGTATGAAGCTGACCTAACAGACAATTGATTTTCATTCCTTTCAGTTCTGCTGACCATGGGGAGGGGGAGAATGTAAATTGGGCATTGCATTTGCATGCTAATTTTATTGCACCCTTGTGTCTTCATGAGAAGATAAAAGTTTGGGCTAATAAAAATAAAACATTTCTGGCTCTAATACAGGCAAATGTTTATGTAGGCAGGTAACAAATTGTAAAACATAGTAAAACATGGAGAATGCAATAATCATCTTTAGGCAAAACAGACTGGAGCTTTTGCTTAGCTTTTAGCTTTCATTTGCAAAAAATCACTTTAATGTACAGCAGCATTTTCAAAATAGAGTAATAAGAAATTAGTAAAACTGTTGCCTCATTCCTAACTACATACAGTACATAATTATTCAATTATTCTTATGGTTGGCCAGAGGAAAGGATTATAGGGAAACATAATCAGTTTATAAAAATATATAGACATTTGCAATTTATAGATTAGGGAGTATCTTAGATGTGCATAGGAATTATTCTTATGTCAACATTTTGAATGCATCTCACATATCATTGTGACAATGCCGATCACAGAGCAGGCATATGATTTCTTTGTTTCACTGTGTTTCCTTCTGAGGGAAGTCAGAGCCCCAGAGAAGGAAATATTTAAAAAGGCAGAAAAATATATTTCCTCAAAAAGGATTTTAAAAAGCAGAAGCCAACCCTGCCCCCAAATCTCTCTATCACAAACAGGAGCCAGCCCTATACAAATGCAAATGTAAAACCATCAGAAAGTTGGAGCCAGAAAACTCAAGAAGACAAAGAGACTTAAAATCTGCATACCCCACCAAAACTCTAGGAGTCATTAGCCCCATCACCAGGGAAGCAGGATATGATAATAGGATTAAACCACAGATACCAAGGCCTAGAAAAACACTCAGATTTAGTTCAAAGTTCATGCCATAGGAACAGGAAACTATTCCAAACAAAAGGCTAGAGAGGGTATAAAAACCTACTGCCCATGTGTTCAGGTCCTTCTTTCCTCTGATCTTTCCTGCAAGAACCATCTTTCTGCCTCTTCAATAAACTGTAACCTTCTTCCCAAAGCAGTTGCCATGCTGCTTATTTATTCATGGCTTGGATGAACCAGGATGAAGACTTTAATCCAACATTTCCTTTTGTGGATTTGCATTATCTAACCTTTCCCAAGAGTATATAACATGATAAACTATGATGGTACTTTAAGTAGCTTGGGACCAGTAGCCTGAGGTTTCCAGTCAAAATCGGTTGACCTGTTTTTGATCCAGGAATCACAAAAGAGCATCTGTATTTCTAGGCATTGCATTACTCCCAACCTCCCTCTAACATGGTCTATAACTCCTCTGCTCCTTCCCCAGCTGAACGTCCTTGGTGCAGAGGAGGGAAATCGTGCAAACAATTTCAGCATTAATACTTGACTGCATTTTCAACTTAATAACCTGGAGAAGGGATGCTCTTGTCAAGCAAAAGGCCAACAATATTTTTTTGCTTTTGGGTCTGTTTGTTTGTGTGTGTGAAAGAGAGGGGGGGGAAGGGAGGGGGAGGGAGAGTTGTTATCAAATATAGAAAGTCAAAAAACGGCAAAGCAATTTTGAGTGAGAGGATTTTCTCCTCTCCCACTCTCAATTTGTTTGTTTTTAATCAGCAGGAAGACTTAGAAGCAAACATTTCTGCCTCTCTGCTTTCTGACACTGTCAAGCCCAATAGCCCTACAAGGAGAGAGAGAATTAACTAGCACAGAAAGGCTTCTATGTATATGCTTCCCACCACAAGCTGGCTTTTGCATTTAGATTAGCCATAGGTATCTGCATTTTTTTTTTAATATAGGCTCCACAAAATGGAATAGGAAACAGGAAGATGAGTGGCATGTTATTTGATTCCGAAAGGCAAGATTACAGTAATGCACAATTAAGTGAGCAGAAAGTGGTATTTAATGTCACCTGCATGCATTCTCACTGTAGCATGAAGTTTAGCAGACAGGTCCTTCCTTCAGCTGCTCTTTTTGCCTCCTTCCCTCCATTTCTATTTATAAGACAAGTACAGATAAAGCTCTGTGCCCCTCAGAGTGCCAATGCTAAGAATAAATGGAACATCAAATATGTCTCCTGAAAGGCATATATCATCTTGTTAAATTTGTCGGATAATCCCAGAACGCTAGAAACAATTCTCAATATCCCACAAATGTATATATCCTATAAATAATATGTGGTATAAACATGAGGGAGGAAAAATGCCTCAAAAGGAGGTTCAGGATATACAATTCAATATCACACACACACAAACACACACACACACACACACACACACTAGTTGTATTAGTACAATAGTATCATTATTATTGCAATTACTCTTGCTGTTAGATACTCAATCGCAAAGGAGATCTGGAAACATCAATATTTTAGGTATGAAGTTATGCAAATTTCTTGATATTTATAAGTGGCTTCACTGTTTTCAGTATATGTTTCTTCAGTCTTCAGTTGCTAATGTAAATTCTGTGTACATGACAGAAAGAATTTAGTTTGTTATTAGAGGATGGCTATACATTCAGATGTGAAGCAAAGAGCAATTTGTCCCAGCAAAGAGCAGTGAGATTGAAGAGGTGCCACAATTTGTGTTGATGAGACATTTCACATCTTAGCCTGCTGTGGCCAATAAATGGCAGAGGCCCTGGGCACACAGAGAAACCTCTTCCACCTACTACAAGCTCCAGTCAAAGCAGGAAAAATATTTTTTAAAATGGCTGCATTGTTCTTAACAGCAAGAGTAAAATGCTGCTTTATGAAGTACATGTAGAAGAGAATTCACTGTCTCCTTACAGTATATATCTCCATTAGAGGGTGCATGATTTGGAAGAAGGTATTTGGGCCTTTTGCAGCCTTGCACTTCTCTGCTATTCATTAAAGTCACCTGATTTCTTTTAGGTTTCTGCAAAAGGGGGGGGGAGTGTCAAGGTTATAAGGAATCTACTGGTTAAAGCTAAAGCTCTTAAAGAAACAGCATCTTTTTTAGCGGCCTGCAAAGTCAGTCTATTTTAAGGAAAGCATCATTGCTCAGGGGAAGTCCAAAGCTGTCCATTCAGATCATTTTCAAAATGTACCCAGCTAGCTAATCTGCATAACATTCATATGCAAAGGCAGTATATTACTGAATGCCAATTTCTAAGCACTAATAGTGGGAGAAAGCAACTGGCATTAAGTCATTGTGTTATTATGGGAACCAAAATCTGGATCTGATGGATATTTGGTTTAATCCAGCTGAGCTTTTCTTCCCAGCAGCTTGTGTTCTTATAGCATGATGATGATAAAGATGATGATGATGGTGGTGATGATTTAAAACTTTATTGCAACCATATGGGTTTCAGCAAAACAAAATCAACTCTTATCAACTCTAAAAAACATAATCAGCAAAACATAAACAAATTAAACAGAAGCCCAGCTTAAAATATAACAATTGCCAGCAGATACAGTAGAAACCTGATGATAAAATACGAGCCAATATAATTTAACCAGTATAATGTTGGAAGATTGCACATCACACCACTTTGTTTATTTCTATTGGTAAGTTTTGCAAAATAGAAGTCACAAATGTATTGATATGAGGAGAATTATCTGTGTTAACAGATGGAATATTCAATCATGCTGGGAAATGCAGCCCAACATACCTGAAAGTGGACAGATTGGCAATGATTTGGTTAACTAATTAGACATTTTCTATAAAATTTGAATTTCTTTTACTGAGAATTTTTTCCCCCTGCTTTAGAGTTTAGTCACCTCATCAACTCTTAACACAAAATATCAAGAAGCCTTAATTAGAAACTCAATATGAAATATAGATTCTGAGGAGTCCATTATTATGCACAAACATATAACTACAAGGTGGCAGAAAATGAAAAACATTAAACTATACACTTTGAAAGAAAAGAAAGCATATTTCTACTAAGCAAATTGTGAGGGGGTTTTTTTTCTT